TTTTAGTTGTCCAGATCATTTGTTTCTATTTTTTAGTAGAGATGGGGTCTCACTCTTGCTCAGGCTGGTCTCGAACTCCTGACCTTGAGTGATCCTCCCGCCTCGGCCTCCCAGAGTGCTAGGATTACAGGCGTGAGCCACCGCGCCTGGCCCGTATTACCCTTTCTTGATCCAGTTTTTCCAGTTCTCTTCGTTCCCTTTCTAAAACTTCTTGTCGGTCACTCTGCCTTTGTTCTTTTACTTGCTGTTCCCATATTTTGTCTTCTTCCTTTTGTTCTTCAATTTGTTTCTGATCTACACCTAATAAGACAGAAAACAAAGAGTGAGTGGCTTCCAGCATCAGATTGTTCAAACGAAGGCAAGACCAGTTTGCAGGAGCCCTTGCCAAGACCCAAGAAGACCCTGCTTGGTTTTGGGATGACTCTATCGACCTGCTTCAATTTGCTGTTCCACTTCCATTGACTGCGAGCCCCAGCCCCACTCCTTGCACCACACCCCACCTTTCACTTGACTGAGACCAATAGGAGTCACCCTCACCACGCCAACTCCATGTCATATTTTCTCTTCCTCTTTACTCATCTCTTTCCTCCTCTCCAAGGAAAACCGTGTATTTCTGCCTCTCCCTCTGATTACGATCCCTCCCCCATCCTTAGGACCCTGACTAAGCCATCAGTCCTATCTTTGTACATAGTTTCAGAACTTTCTCATTCCCATAAAAATGCTCAAGTCTCTCCCACCCTGAACAGAACCACGCTATTGCCCGCCCCCGGCTGCTCCAGCTATCTCGCCATTCATTCCCCACTTCTTTAGGGCTGATGGCGGCCTCTATACATTCAGATCCTTCCCACATCTTTTCCTGTACTCCTGCTCTCTCTCCCTAGCCTCACATCCACATTGCTGGCGGTTCCCTGCCATAAGCACGTGGAAACCCCACGGCCCCGCCTCATCCCTGCAGCAACTGTCCGGGCCTTCACATGCTCTTTCCACGCTCGTGCACTTGTCACCATGGCTTGTAGGTTTGCGCTGCCCTCCTGCAGCTGCAGCGAGGGTCCTTCTCACCATCTCCCTGGACTATGGAATATCCGAGGCAAGGCTCTCCCTACCCTCAATCTCTGCCTTCCAGCAACCTGTCCTCGTTGGCACCAGGCATTGCCTGAGGGGAAGACGTGGATTTGCTGTGCAAGGTCTCTGCTTTGCGCTCTGACAATCTGCCATTTTCTTTCCAGATTGATTTCCTACATCACCACTAACTTCGTACTGGAAATACTCTATCTGTACCAAGCCACTCGCTGGGACCAGACCACAACTATACTCTCCTTGCTCTGTGTCTTTGCCTTCACTGTGTCCTCAGCCTGTGGCACTCCCTTCCTCCCACAGGGCCCCAAATGCTATTTGATACCCAACTGATATGCCACGTCCTCTGTGAGGTCCTCCTCATTCCTGAAGTGACAAGTAACCACTCTAGCACCTTACTTGCAGGGTATCTTGTACTTGCTTTATCAGAAACCACATGTACCTGTTTCTTCCACTTCTTTTTCTTCCGGGCAAGGCCTACGTTTTAATTACTTGACTTTTCCTCTAGCTTTTGGCACAGGTTCCTATACCTCAAAGGTTTAATTAAATCTCAACCCCACAGACAATTATGTTGACCTTTCTCTTCCAGCTCTGACCCATAACCTACATTTTTCTTTTTTTATCCAAGCAATGCTAATAGGCAGAAAAATTCATAGTTTCACAAGAGGACTTTGAACCTTTTTGTTGTGCCCTGTTCTAAAGTCATCAACAGGAACTGAGTTAGTTTTACTAATAGGAGAGAAGTAACACAGTCTTCTCTCTCTCTTTCTCATGAAATTAAAATACCAGAGGAGGCAGTTTAATCACTTCCGCAGGCAGAAATGCAACTTCCTCCTTGCAAAAGAAGGGTTACTCCTAAATAAGATTGCTTTCTTATATAAAATAGCAATCTCAAAATAGGAGTGTTGTTTAGGTGCCAATTTAAAAAAAAGAAAAAAGAATTACTTCTCTAGTCAGGTATATTTTGTAGCCGCAGGGTGGCATATAGAAACCTTTGGACACAAGAGCAAAGAAAAGAAACCTGTCTACTGAGCACCTCAGAGACACTAAGTTTCAGCCTTTTTCCATTTTCTTCTCTGCCCAGATGAACAGATGAAATGATGAATATAAGAGAATTTCTCAATAATCAAAATATTAACCATGCTGCTTAATAATTATTTGAAAAGCCATTATTATAATCTACATTCCGTCTCAGAGGCAGAACACCTAGGTACTCAGTTGATTTTCCTTATCCTATCCTGTTATTTTTATTCCCTGATTCACTCAGGTCTGTGCCAAATGGCTGCCTATATCAAATACTCTCAACCTGCAGCCACAGCCCCTACTCAGCTGTCGCAGCACCTCCCAGCTGGGAGAGCTTTCTCATCTCTGTGACAGCTTGCTAACCATGTGACTCCCCCACTAGAAGCTCCAGGAAGGTAGAGGCTTGGTTTGGTTCACTGCTGTATGCTCAGCCCCTAGGAAAGTATCCAGCAGAGAGAAGGCTCTAGATTAAGTCTTGTTCAGTGAGCACTTTCCAAAGCAGATTTACTCTGGAATCTGCAAAATCAACCCTCTCAAAATCTCTTGCTTCCTTCAGTAATTCTTCATATTCCTGAGTACCATGACTTAAACCAAGAAATTGCTAATAAGAGGCTCTAGATGTGTTTTGGGGATGTTTCCCTAATGTTGGGAAGGAGTAAGAGGTAGCTTGAGAAATTTCCTTTCAAATTTGAGGATGAAACACTTTGGTCCAAGAAGAAAAGGACCTGGCCGTTGGCCAAACCCTGGAATGAAGCACAAATCTCCCCACAGCTCTCTCCCTCTCTCCCTCCACCCCTGGCGAGGGAGGGAAGTGGCTGATCTGGAGAAAAGAGAAAGTGGCCAGACAAGAAAAGTCTGATGACCAGTTTTCCTCCAGTGGTAAGTTAACTCAGTGTGCTCAGCTTTTCTGAATATTGAAATGCAAAGGTTTTCTGTCCTAATTTAAGACACAAAGGAAGCAAGTAGGTGGGGGCAGGGAGACTAAAAAAAAAAAAAAGGAAGCAAGTAGCTAGAAAAAGAAATAATATTAAAATATTATAATCACATCAAACATATACAATGGGAGTTAATCATTATTTCAATTTTTAGCCATGATTTCCCAAGATGACAACACTCTCATGGAATGGCTTTTGCAGAAGAGTCTTAGGGATAAGCATAATTTCTCTGCCAGACTCTCAACAGTTAAAGAAAAATTTTTTTAAAAAGCAAGTGGCCTGGGAAGACTAAATGAGAAGCCCTTCCTTCACAGAGTCTTCTCCTCAGCACTGTCTTTACACGTTCACATTGGGAGTCACTTCAGAGATGCCATTAACAGTGATAACCCCCCAACCCCAAGACTTTGAAAAACCCACATTTACAAAATGTCCTCTAATGACTTGTGAAATGATTTACAGAGCACGCAGACAGGTGTTTGGTATGTGGCCATGCTGACCGTTAGTTAACAAAAAGACAGACTTACTCGGGCAGTGATACGAGATGGGTCCGGTGGGCACAGCAGCTGTGGCAGTGTCCACATGAGGCATGTCACCAGCAGGATGAAGCCCGGTCACTTCAAACTGCCGTGGCACATTCCCTGCATCTGCACCAGGCACAAACAATTGTCCCGTGAGGCCTCAATAATAACAGCAAGAGGAGGGCAGGGGAGGGTGGGGTGATGACGGTAGACCACGTGGACTGCAGCCAAAGCAGCTGGGCACACCCTTTCTTCACAGGATTCTGAGACGCTCCCAACATAACCACTTGCCAACAGATTCACTTCTCAAAGTGTTTTGTTTTTTTTTCTCCCTCTCTCCTTGAGACAGGGCCTTGCTGTTTTGCCCTGGGCTAGAGTGCAGTGACGTCATCATAGCTCACTGTAGCCTCAAACTCCTGGGCTCAAATGATCCTCCTGCCTCAGCCTCCCACATAGGTGGTACTACAGGCACATGCCACCACACCTGGCTTATTTTTTTTATTTTTTGTAGAGATGTGGTCTCGCTCTTGTTCACGCTGGTCTCGAACTCCTGGCTTCAAGCAATCCTCCTGCCTGGGCCTCCCAAAGTGCTAGGATTACAGGCGTGAGCCACTGTGCCTGGCCCTCAAAGTGAACGTTCTTATACTTGAAAGAATTAAATCTGTTTACAAAATAGTATTCATTATTCAACAGGAAAATCAGTCCAGTAACAGGGAAGAATTCATTCGGTTTGCTGATAATTGTGTGAATTCTATTTAAATATCAATGATTTAACTGACAAGTTTAAAACACTTCACAAAGTTTACTAGGCCTTCTCATTTAACTGTTCAAAATATCACAGTTTCAGATTTGGAGACGAAATTTACAAGGCTAAACAATAGGTTATGAAAAGAACATCCAGATTTTTCAAGCTGGAAAGAGCCTTAGAGATGATCAGCTCTCCATTCCTGTTCTATTCTTATAATGTGTGCCACAAAGTGACTCAGGCTAAGGCAAGGCCACAGTGTCTGGACTCTTAATATTCTTTCACCTCATCCTTTCACTAAGAACGGTTTTTTAAATCTGAGGCAATCAACAGACTCAGTATAATTTAAAGACAAATAACATCTTTGTATTCCATAAAAAAGAAAAAAATAAATTAAGGAAGATCACTTATTTTAAATCTGATAAATTAAGAATTCATCTATGGGCTTAGCTTCAACTCTGAAATTATTAATCTAAAATTATTATTAGTTCAATAACTGAAATTGTTAAAGAGGGAACTCAGACACAACCCTGAAAATCTTCACAATAGAAAAATGAGGTGATATATCTGTATTTGTAGTCATATCATAAAATAAAAATGTCCCAATTTGTAACTGTTTTGCTTTTTATACCAATGAGTCTGTTTCACCAAAACTAAGCTTTCTATGTTTTCAACTTATAAAAACTGGTACTTATCTTTGAACTTACATTCAAAAGATTCAAATTCCTCATTATCCTTAAAAGGAAGCTTGTCCATATTTGAAGATTCACTTTTATCTTGAAGTTCAGTTTGTCTCTGACAAAGACTGGATTAGAAGAATAAAATTCATGAATGTGAAGTTTTAATAACGTAAAACCCAAGAGCACAGGATGACAAAAAGCCTTTCGACCCAAGAAAATGTTCCACAAAGTTCCTTTTTCTTTGGCTTGTAAAGGATAGCTCCAGCTCACCACACTCTAGGCACTGGTCTCAGCAACAAGTACATGTTTGCTCATTTACTCCTCAGTAACCACTTTATGCTGGGAGGCAGGCACTATTATTGTTAACAAAGAATAATGTTGTCCTCCCAATGCTATTCCTAGGAGTTTAGTTTTTCAATTACCACAGAACATTTTTGAAAAATCCAAATTCTGTGCACTGCCAGTACGAACCAGCTGAAGACACGACACCATAACCGTGAGAGCACATCAAAATGCCCTAACTGGGCGGATGTGTGCGTCTGGTCTTTCCTTTTGCCTTTATCACAAGACTACAATATAAAACAAATTAGATGCTTTAGGACCATGACAGGTACGTGTGGCAGTTTTCAACTCTGCACAAGAGAACTACATCAACATGCAGATGTCCAGGCTTGAGCCCAGAGCTAAGGAGTCAGTCATCTCTGCGGTGGAGCCCAGGTATGGGCAGGAGTCCACCCATGACTGGAATTGTAGCCCAGCTGACCCACTGGCCTAGTTTCTAAAAACATCCACTCCATACTGCTTCAACAATCATACTCTAGAGCTGCGGTCCCCAACCCCTAGGCCACGGACTGGTACTGATGTGTGGCCTGTTAGGAACTGGGTCACAGAGCTCTGCCTCCCCCTACCCTCCCCTTCGCCCCTTCCATGGAAACATTGTCTCACATGAAACTCAGGAGGTGGGGAAGAGCCACACAGCAGCAGGTGAACAGTGGGTGATTGAGCGAGCGAAACTTCATCGGTATTTACAGCCACTCCCCATCGCTCGCATAACTGCCTGAGCTCCGCCTCCAATTCCCCACCCGTCAGTGGAAAAATTGGCCTCCATGAAACCTGTCCCTGGTGCCAAAAAGGTTGGGAACCGCTGCTCTAGAGCCCATTATCACTTTAGAATTTAATTCATTGGAACATAAATCAGAACCTTATCTGTTTATATTTAAATGCCAAAATAGTTTTTAAAATGACTTTTTAATGATGTGTGAAATTGTTCCAACTTTAAAAATAACCTCAATTTGTTTGCTTTCACAGATTTTGCACATTTGTTTATCTTTACAAACTGTGTCTACTCACAGAACTATGAAAATGCTTATTAACACCGTATCATGTATTCTATATATCAAGTTTAGCAAATAGGTAGAAATTACTTATTTGCTAAAAGCAATCTTTGTTCCCCCAGGTAATTCAGATGATTCTCAAAGATCACACATCATCTTGCAATCTGATTGCAAATTCTATACTGCCACATGATCTTTAATAACATCTAAAAAACCAAACGAATGAGTCAAGGCTGAGAGCACAGCAGGTAACATGATTCAATGTAGCTGACCAGAATGTGGTACTTACCCCACCTTCTGCTCGGGAGGGCTGGGGAAGGAATGGTTGGAGAGGCTGTGCCTATGTTGGGCAGGTGACGGCTGGCACATTCTGTTAGGACGAGGACTGGGGGAAGCAACCTGTGATCTGCTCAAACCTAAGGGGCAGAATGAACTGGGGCAAAACTATTACAAATTGCATGGTTTCTAAACAACAACATGGTTTCTAAAGAGATCTACTAGTTTGAAAATAAACTGTTATCCTTGCAAACAGCCAGTTATGATGCATAGGATCTACAAACTTAACAATTTAAGCATGTAAATTAAATTGCAGTGGCAATAATAAAATGTCTAAAACCAACCAGCTGCAAAGGAAAGGCCATTGTTGCTTCCTGAACATCTCTGCGTGCCAAGCAAACACTAGACCTTTACACTCTTTGTCCCACTGGCACCCACAGCAACCCTGGGTGGTGGAGGAAACATCACCAGGAGCCCGCAGGCTCGGGGGAGGACACATCACTCCAGCTGGGGCGCCCCAAGGCCTGACTACTGCATGCTCTGCCCACCACTGCCTGTGGGCTTGGGCTGTGCTCACTCCAGTAAAAGGTCCTACAAGGCCCAGGGATACCCACTCCAGAGCATCCCACAAGCCTTTGTGTGGTGGTTACCTTCCAGGTGCATTTCACTTTCAAGGCTTCTTTTTGCTTTTGGAAGGGGTGTGGAAGAGAGGCGTCTGGAGGAAGCACCCCTGCGTAGTCGTGAGGCTGAGCTGTCCGTAAGCATTAAAGAGGCTTCGCTCTTTTCCTCTTTAAATGTGCCCACCTGAGGCTCCTCAGAGATAACTCTGTCCTCTGCAAAAATACATCTTTCCGGGGAATTGGAAGTGATGTTTTTGAGAGCTCCCAGCAAGTGCAGAGATGGCGGGCTCTTTGGTGGGAGTGGACTTTTGGGAGGGTTTTCAATGACTCTCTGATGGTAACTTCTGAAAGCCTCATCCAAGCGTTCAGCTTCTTGCTCCAGCTCTTTGATTCTTGCTTTAGTATTGGCTACAAACTCAAGGTCAGAATCAGGAGAACTACCCTCTACCCCTGCCCTTAGATACCTTGTGATCCGTGGTACAACTACACTTGCTATAATTTTTTCCTCATCAAGAGGACTATTCAAGAAACGCCGGCTTATAACACCATTGTGAGGCACCATCTTGCCACTTATTACCCCGCTGGCGGAACGATCCATCATGGACTGCTTTGGATTGTAGAATACTTCATTCTCTAGGGCTGTGGATTACAAAAAGATAATTTGAGAAATGAGGGGAATGAGGCAGAGAATAAAACTAATATATTAGAGAATATTTTTTTGAACAATGAAAGTAATAATAAGGACAAACTTGTACATTAAACAGTTCTGAAGCCATGGGAATAATAACCATTAACATTTATTGAGAACTTATATGTATCAGCTACAGCTTCATACATCTTCCTTTTGTAATGCATGATTTCAGCATTTCAGAATCCATTACATACAATTTTGAAATCCAAAAAGTTCTGAGAACTGAAAATTTATTCATAATTTATTTAGTGGCAAAGCCTAACCAGACTTGAACTCATTTGGTCGAAAGCTTGACCTGAAGTGATATAAACCCATTTACAATCTTTATTCATACATTTGAGTGCAAAATAATTATTGTGTTTCACTACAGGATGCCTCCCCAGAAGTCTCAGGGCTGTTGCAAAATGCACAGAGTATGGCCCGAGTTTCAGATAAGGGAATGAGGACCTGACTTCACAACAACACTGTGGCCTAACCACTCTCACTGCTCCCATTTCACAGATGGGGACTGAGGTTTACTGAGGCTGGATCACACAGTGGCAGGTTCTAGGCGTACTGAGATTTCCTAATGCAAGGCCAGCGCATGTGCCCACTGCTCCCTGCAGTGCCTCCTTGTGATGCTACAAGTCAGAAGCTTGCCATGGGCAGTGCAAACGTACAAAAGACTCCTATCCTCATTGATCTATTTTTCATGATACGAGACTGATTTCAGCTCTGGGCAGTTTGGCAAACAGAATTGTTGAGAGAAAATAAGGAACGGGAAAGAGTAGAAATGAGTAAAGAGATAAAAATAAAACTAGTGCTGGTAAAAGGGAACAAGGGAACGAGGAAAGAGCAAGAGTGGGAACTGAGGAAGGCTCAGAACAAGAAAGTGCGAGAAACTAGTCGAACTGGTAACACATACACACTTCTTCAGCTTGAAAGCAGCTGAAGAAGGAAGTACCTGAGCTTCAATATCCTCAGGAAGTAGGAAGGGGCAGATATGCATTCGCACTGAAGACACAGTTAATGAAACAAAGTCACCACTTCCGGAGTGTCTTTTATGTCCCAGGCACTGGACTGAAATCCACCTCATTTCATAATACCCAGTAAGTATTATTATCCCCATTACAAATGAAGAAACTGAGGCCCAAGGAAGTTAAAGTGATATGCCCAAGGTCAAACAACCAACTTCAAAATTGAGGTCTAAAACAAAAACTGTTCTCCAATTCCAAGGGCAATGGTCTTTTCGCTAAGCCACCCTGCTTTCCCCACGTATTTATACATCTGTCAAGGAATACGTAAATCTACTGCATAACCAATCAGTCTTTTTTTTTTTTTTTTTTTTTTTTGAGACAGAGTCTCACTGTGTTGCTCGGGCTAGAGTGCCATGGCGTCAGCCTAGCTCACAGCAACCTCAAACTCCTGGGCTCAAGTGATCCTACTGCCTCAGCCTCCCAAGTAGCTGGGACTACAGGCATGCGCCACCATGCCCGGCTAATTTTTTTCTATATATTTTTAGTTGTCCAGATCATTTCTATTTTTTTTAGTAGAGACGGGGTCTCGCTCTTGCTCAGGCTGGTCTCGAACTCCTGAGCTCAAACAATCCGCCCGCCTCGGCCTCCCAGAGTGCTAGGATTACAGGCGTGAGCCACCGCGACCGGCCTAACCAATCAGTCTTATCAGAGTAACAAATAAAAAAGGAAAGCCCAGGATGAATTTGGGGACTTCTGTGTCACCACCACGTCTTTCCTATTTGGGGCATGAGGCTCTCCCGAACCATAGACTGGTTCACAGGTCATCTTGATGACCCAGTTGGTATTCCCAAAATGGATAGGGAGTTTTACTTCTAAGATGATACGTATTTCTATGGCTTTTCCCCTAACATGAGAATTACTAAATATTCAATAAATTACAATCATCATATTTTCACAAACATCAGAAACTACACAAAGATATTTATGGGTTAAAAATGTCTCTAACCTCTCTGAGTTTGCTTCAGTTGCAATTTTAAATCAGCAACTTGAATAGTTAATCTCTTTACAGAAGCATCGTAAGCTAGTATCTGGGCCTTCAACTTTGCAGACTGCTCAATCTGAAAAGATTCGGAGAAGGAAAAGAAATCAATGTAAAACAAATCACGGCTCGCTTCAAGGGGAAAAATGCTCTTATTGTGCTTATTCTCTTTTTCTGTTTTGCCAATTCTGAGAAGCTTCACACCGATAAACAAGGTCCCTATTAAAAAAACAACAAACAGAACACAGAAACAAGTTTTTCACTACCTTTTTCAGTCATATCAAAGAACAGCTACTCTAGGGCACGCAGGCAGAAATCAGGAAGTCACAGTGAATGTGTGTACTATTTCTCAGGGTGGGAATCAAGAGATAATAGTGGGTACTATTAGGCACTCAGAAAATTTTATGCTTAGGTGAGTTTGCTTTGCTCTCAATTTTATTACTATTATGAGTACAGTCATATAATCACTGGAGAATTTTGTCAGATGAGAAAGGATACCTTTAGCATGTGTGGGGGAGTAATTTTTGTTGTTAAAAGAAATGTGATTTACACTGGTGTGACTTGTGCCAAGTTTACATATCTACAAAGTGGACTGGTATAATACTGGAACCGGTGAAGAGCAATACTCACTTCACTTTGCAGCTGTTTTTGCAGAGCTTGCCTGCGGCTTTCAAACTCCTTATGCTCAAACGCTATAGCAGTTTCTGCTTTCTTTAATTCTTTCTGAAAAATCACAAGCTCAGGAGCTGGCTGAGCTAAGCCTAAGAAGGTAAAAAAATCCTGGTCGTATTAACCTTAACAAAAGCAGTTAAAGACATTTTAAATTGTTCCTTTTCTTTGTACTCACATAATTAACATTATATTAATCCTATTAAATAAACTAAAAGCAATCCTGATTCACAAATTTCAGAACAAAAGAATTTAATGCATGTTAATATTGACTTCGTTACTCTTGGAGTCCTACTCCAAGTAAAAGATCTCCTTCGAATCCTCAAATTTACTTGCAAGGCCGTCTCTCTCCTCTACCATGCACAGAGGGCACAGAAGGAGCTCTCTGCATGGTCTGCCTGTCCATGTCTGCCCCAAGATGCAATCTGATCTACACAACTGTCAGCAGCAGTTGGGGTCCAGGCAGAAAGCAGATGGTATCCTCAATGTGGGTCATCTAAGGACCCTTTAATAAAGGGCAACTTATTCAGAGTACCCACAAAAGATGGTGGAGTTCCCTGGGCTAGTAACAGGACTATGCTATTAGTACGCCTTGGGCCTAAAAGATTGAGGGAGAAATTCCCAGCATCAGAGAGAGGGAGCTGGCGCAGAGCACTGGTGAGAGGCACCGTGACCTTGCTTGGCTGAGAAACGCAGCGGCCTGTCTAGGGCCACTATCTGTGGAAGTTGGGTCGGGGTGGGGATGACAGCAACCTCGACCTCCCTCTCCCCTTTCACGTGTTTGCTGGTGTCTCCCCTGGCCAAACCCAACCAGCAGTCAGAGGGCAATGGGAGCCCTGACACATCCACAGAGGCACATTTATAAAAATATTTCTTCTTTCTAAAGTGATGGGAAAAAAAATTTCTTACAGTGATACTATTAATTATGCAATAGCAAGCAAAAAGGAAGTAATTTCAATCCAAGAATCTTAATTTTATAAACTCTTCCCAGTTTAAGCCTCCTTTACAGGTACAAAGCACAGTTTTATAATACTGACTTAATACGAATTACTAGAACATGCAAATCAAAAAAAAAAAAAGACGTACGGTTTAGGAGACGCAAGTTTTCATTTCTAGTTTCTTCCAGTTGTTGTTTAAGTAATTTGTTTTGTGCCTGAAGCTCCAGTTTCTCTTCTTTTAGTAGTGAATAATCACTCATCTCTTTAACTTTTTCATTCAGCATGTGGTTTTGTTTTGTCATTGCTACAGACTGGGCTTTGACAGACTCTAACTCGAGCTGAAATTGAAAAAGGAAAACTTACTTGTGAATGATGACTTTATAGTACTACAAAAGTAAAAGCTGGCAAGCTGCTTTAAGCAGGAGTCACGATTTACTTACAGAATTGAGGTTCTTACTACAGCAATGAAAGTTATCTTCTGCCCTAGAGTTGGGGCAGAAGTAGTTCTTCTAACTTGAATTCTATAGACACCTGTCCTCTGAAGAAAGTATTTCTGATTATCAGCCCCATCTTCCAGATGTAATGAAAGACCCAGTAACAATCACACATTGTAGCAATATATTTTTTTAAAAGAGGGAAAGGGTGAGATAGAAATGATCTCTAACATGTTGTGAAGTGCTTCCCTTTTCTTAGTATAATATATCTCATATTTGGGTACAAAAGCCTACAAAGTTCTCAAATAAATAAGTCATCACAGTTGGAAAAATAAATCTTACATATAAAAAATATTTTAAGTATCTAAAGTTCCAGCTCTATCCTTCAGACAGCAAGCTCACTAATAAACAGAAGTAACAGTGGCATGTGAAAAATGCATTTCATTTTGTTCATAACGATATAACAATAGGAATTTTTACCTGCTGCTGATGGGAGGAGAGAAAATGGTGAGGTAAAAACTACATGTATTGGCTACCTGCTGTAAGTTAGTTCACTGAATTCCCTCAACGACCATATGATGTGGAAAATATCCCAGAGATTACAGATCAGGAATCTGTAGTCACAGAGCTTGCCCAAAGGCAAACAATCAGTAAGAGAGACAGACAGGATTCAAGCAGGACTCCAGAACCAAAGCTCTATCCACCCTTCCAACTATGTGACTTTGATGGAAATGAAGAAGTAATGAATTAACCTCAGCCATCACCGTCTTAGCCATGTAATACGGTTTAAACAAATCGAAAGGACAACTTAAGATAAACTATGTATCACTAAAATGGAAATTTCATATATTGCCTAAAATCTACTTCAAAAAACAACAGGGTTAACAATTACCTCAAGTTCTTTCATATGATTTACAGATTGATTAAGTTCCTTCTTTTTTGAAGTAATAGCTATGAGCTCCTCTTGCAAATGAATAGCTTTTTCTGAAAGAAAGAACCCACCAATTATAACCATTGTGTTACATTTTGTATTCTAGTGAATACAAAAGCCATTTAATATTTATGGCTAGTATGTCAGACCTAATGACCATTATTTTATAGTCTAAATAGCAGACATAGGGGTTAAAAATTTCATGAGCAAGTAAGGAATAAACCCTGTTACCCAACGAGTGATGTGAAGCTATAACTACCATATAATGTGGTGAAATTCCACCTGCTACACATCCTAACCAGAGTTACACCATCTGCTCAGAGCACAGGGCCCTGATGCTAAGAGCTCTTAACTTCCTTAAAGACAAAGATCTGTCTGTTATTATTTCGTAATTTTCACTTCAGCTACCACAAGCCTAACATAATTTGTTAAACACATGATGCATTAATCCATAAAAGAAGTGTGAGTCTCCACAACATAGTAGCAAAAGGAGCAGTCACACATTGGGTATCTGGTCAATATCAAGTATCCAGCCCTGGTTTACTCTCAAGAATCTGTTTGAAATTTCCACCAAAAGTTCAACTTCTTGTTACAGGCAATTTCCTAGAAATATATTGAAATGTAAAATATCTGAAGAATAAAAAATTATTCAACTTCTGTAGTCTCAGGCCAATGTATACAAGAGTTTGGGAGGTTATATGTCAAGTAGAAATATTATAAAGCATAAAAATATATTAGAAGTAAGGCTGGGTATGGTGGCTCACACCTGTAATCCTAGCATTCTGGGAGGCCAAGGCAGGAGGATTGCTTGAGCTCAGGAGTTCAAGACCAGCCTGAGCAAGAGCGAGATCCATCTCTACTAAA